CCCCCCCCCAGCATATCCTGGTTTTCAAGTGGGGTACTTGGTATGCAGAGATAGGGTTAAAGACGGCTGAAGTGGTTTTCCTTTTTCTCTGATATATCTTTAAAATTGATGATGTCAAAATCCAAATTAAAATTAGGAAGTTGGCCTTTTTGATATTTAGCTTTCTCAAATTAATAGAAAAGTTCAAAGAATTTAAACTTTGTTCTGAATCAAGATTTTAGATATCAGATATGTTTAGATTTTTAATAGATGTAAAGTTGGAATTAAAGAACTTTATTTGACTTTCTGGATATTCAAATGAAAGATGAAACATTGAAACTCTAAAACCAAATTTTAGGATTTTACAAGAAAATATGGTTCGGAGTATCAAGATATCTTCTAGTTAAAATATTCAGAATATTTGGATTCAAAAGCGTGTAACTTTTTGGATCTTGATAAATTTTAAGTTATAATCTAAAAAATAATCTGTATTGTCTCAAAAACCGTTATTTAACTTGAACTGGAAATTTAGGATTTTTTATTAAAAAATGAGGTTTTAGTTTCCAAAATTTGACAAAGCTGTTTTTTCTTATATTTAGATATAGGTTTAGTATATATCTAAAATATAAATAGGAAAGCTTTTATGAACCAAAATATTAATAAACTGTATATTAAGAACGATGGCGGGTCTTTATAGAAAAAGTTATTTAACGTTTAGTTTAATATTTGGATAAATTGGATAAATATGAATTTGAAAATTTATTTAGAACAATTTAAAATAGAATGTGACTCGGACCAGAAATTGTTGTGGCTGGCAATGGAGAGATGTTTAGAATCAAACACTTTTTAAAGGATAAAATATTTTCCACATATCTGATTAGATTAAGATTTCAAGGGTACCGTTGTAAATCGGGCATTGTCAACTTTGCACGAAGGGTCACTTGAAATTAAGCTCACAGTCCCTTTAAGGTAAAATTAAAAAGTAAGTTTTTGATACCTTAAAACAATCTTCCAATATTTCATCATTCCTTGGCCTCTACACTGAAATATTGAATAAAAAAAATTAAAATGTATGGAAAATAAGAAATATTATTATTGTTAAGATTTATTTTCACACACATATATAAAATAATATACAGGGTTACCCACACACATATAAATAATATACAGGGTTACCCACACATATATATAAAATAATATACAGGGTTACCCACACACATATATAAAACAATATACAGGGTTACTTACACACATATATAAAATAATATACAGGGTTACCCAAACAGGAGGAGATTTGAGAGACGACTGTCCGAAATTTATACTGTCTGTTCTTGATATTTATTATTCCCTGCAGCTGTTAAATTGTTTTGTTTTTCTTTGCCAAATCATTAAATAGGCCATTTAAAGACCACATTCAATTTGAAATTGTCTTATTTTAAGAGCTGCAGGTCGTCTTTACAGTCTCATCCTTTGTGGGTAAACTCTGTACATAATATGGTGTAGATACTTTAAAATACAAATCAAACTTGATTTTTTAAGCAAGTCAAATAAAAGAATTCTACTTATCCATTTTCTTATTTTATAAACCTCAAGTTTAAAAGCAATCTAGTCAGCTTTAAAAAACATTTTCAGGAGTTTATTCACAGCAATTAAACATGTTGATTCAGGAGTTTATTCACAGCAATTAAACATGTTGATTCAGGAGTTTATTCACTGCAATTAAACATGTTGATTNCCCACACACATATATAAAATAATATACAGGGTACCCACACACATATATATAAAATAATATACAGGGTTACCCACACACATATATAAAATAATATACAGGGTTTAATTACTTTCTTTTAATTAGGACACCAAAATGAAAATTTGGAAAGCTTTCCAAACCAATTTGTAGCTTATGGCCCAACCAATTATTTTTATTTTGTCTGTTCAACTTAAACCACTTTTCGTCGAAACTAAGTAACAGATGTATCTTTAAAAAGAATAGTACCTTGATTTTGAAGCCTGTCTTAGTTGAAAACTGTTCCATATTTGTTGTATTAGTGTACACTCCTACAAATCCAGCTCCATTGGGCTGGGGATTCAACAGAGCAAAGAATATAGCACGTTGGAACAACTATTTAGATAGTTAATATATATAAAGATAGTTAATATATGTTAGGTACTTTCCCAAAGTATTTTTCCTAATTGGCAACATCCGAAATGTGCAATTTCCCAAGCGGCAACTTCCTAAGTCTGGCCTTGCCCCAGCGCTTGCTTGCAGCTAGATTGGGTTAGAATAGGCTGAATATTCTAACCCATCCAAGCTGCAGCGCTCGGCCCCCCATTGCAGCCTGTGGCGCCTGAGAGGGCCTAACCTAACCTTTGGGAAGTTGCCACTTGGGAAATTGTCATTTGGGAAAATGTACATTTGGGAAGTTGCAATGGGGAAATTGCACATTTGGGAAGTTGCCACTTGGGAAATTGTCACTTTGGAAGTCGCCCTTGAGAAATGGCCTATGGGAAAGTATCTAACACCGTATGTATTTGCCACAACTCTGACTTTCTAAATCATATATCTTTGCAACCTATTGTAGTAGAACTTAGATATTTGAAACTTTAACAAAATAATTTAAGACAAAAATATTTACGAATGTATTATTTGCCACAAACTCTAAAAATCTAAATCATATATCTTCTAATAATCTAAACTAGAAATATCTAATGCTTGCACCATCAGGTTGCAAAGATGAAAATATTAGACAAGTTGAATTTGTGGCAATTTGTACATTTTTAACGTGTTTGTTTGCAGCTCTACGATAAAATAAACCACAAAAAAAAAACATAAAATCTGCGATTTTTTTAATAACTTCGTTACTGCAACTTTACCTTAGATTTTTGAAGAACAAAAGTGCCCTTTGATTTGCCTGGTTCCCTACAATTATTCATTCCTGAATCTCCGAGTAAAATCAAGTTATAAAGTAGGTAGTGGTACATAACTGTAGTTTTGAGTAATTAAATACCTTAAGTTATCGTAGATCATACTTAGTTATAAAGTTATAAAGTAGGTAGTGGTACATATGTGTAGTTTTGAGTAATTAAATACCTCAAGTTATCGTAGACCATACTTGAACCATAAACATAAATAAAAAAGTTGAAAAGATATTTTTCAATAAGAAATTTTAGAACTTTTCACAGACACGCTAAACAGTGTCCTGTTTTAATTAATTTTCTCTGATTCCTATTCAGTCGTCGCCATAAATGGAATGCAGACGACTTCTTTATTCAAATTTTGATTGTTAACCCTATCCCGGTCCCGTGGCTATTTTTGTCTAATATAGATTGTGAGGGTGTGTTTTTGACCCCTATGATTTTGACCTTAGAGTTGAAATAGGGTAGTGGGACACATGTCCCTCGTCCCACTTTTTAAGGCCTGATTATTAAAAAAATAGACCTCTAACTTTAATGGTTAGGGTGTAAGGTGTAAGGGAGAATTTTTTAAAAATTAAAAAAGTGTGTCGATAATATTTTCAAAAATAATTTATTTTATTTTTGACAAATATTAACATATGGCACATGTTATTTTATCCATTTTTCAAGGGCTTTTCAAAGCCCTGTAGCTTGATTATGAAAACTGTTATTAACCATTTCCTTTTTTTTGAAACACTGACCCGCCGTTTGACCGTCCTCCACCCTACCCTATGCATCAAAAAAAAATCTAGCAAATATTGTTCAAATCTTGAAAAAGTTTAAGCATTCTAATGTAAACTGTTTTTCAGTAATTCAAAAGAAACCACAAGGGGGGGGGGGGGGAGATAAGGTTACAATTGTAAAATAAACAAAGAGAATCTCTTATTTGACAGCTTTATTTTGTTTCTGACAGCTTTATTTTGTTTGTTGTTGGCCTAGGGGATATAGCTGTAAATGTATGCAGCATTTCTAAGCTAATCTTCTCACTTGGACAAGGAAATTTGTGTAAATAACTAGTTTGTTTTGAATCTTAATAACTGACAAGGGCCGGTCAACCCAGTCCAAAATATATTTTCAATAAAATGTGGAACATCTGCTTTATTTACTCTATAAGGTTTGGCCCATCTTCAACACACAATTTTAAACTTTGTTTCATAATTAAATAGTTCAGATCTGAAAGTTTCAAGACAGATTCCTAAATTGTACCTCACAGTATCACTGCTTTCCCCCCATAAGGATACTTCATCCTGAGAACAATAAATTTTAAGATTACAATACAGGGTAAGGATGAGACTGTAAGGACGACCTGAAACTCTTGAAACATGAAGATATCATGGTTGATTTCAACCTTCTCCCGGCCTTAGATATAGTCTTTTTGTAACTTATTTAATGTTTGAACAAAGAAAGAAATAAAATTTACCAGTTGCAGGGAATCATGAATATAAAGAAACAGACATAATAAATTCTGTACAGTCGTCTCTGAAGTCTCATCCTTTGCGTGCAATCATGCAGTAAGCAAAGCTGCTACTTTTTTATCTGTTCATTATAGTTACTTAAATTAGCATGGATTTCCATGATAAATTCTGCGTTTCCCTTACCATAAGCATGAGACTGTAAAGACGACTTGAAAATATTAAAATATGAATCTTAAAATCTGAAGGTTAAATTAAGTCTTTTCTGCCTTAAATACAGTCTTTTAATGAATACGTTGAACAGTGTTAAGTAATGTGAAAAAGCAGCCTAGGTTGTCGTCTTCCATCAGCAATCAATAAATAATGATGAAAGAAACAAGTTTACAGTTGCAGATAATCATGAATAACAGGAAACAGACAGAAAATTTCCCTTCAGTCGTCTCTGAAGTCGCATACTTTGTGCATAACCCTGTCCTATACCTACCTCTGTAAAATTCTCATTTGTGAAATCGAATAATGTTTCCTCTTCTCTTATATTGGAATCACTTTTACCCACATGCTCAGAAATCTCTTTGGCGTCATCTTCAATTGCGTGGATGTAGTACGCGGCATCCGAGCAGTGCAGACTCAGTAGATAAACTTCAAAACATTAATCAGTAATTTGAGAGAAAAAATGGATACGATACCGGGTGTCCCAATAAACTTGGTACTTTTTATTTCGTCTTTGTAAATATATTTTTAATTAGTATGGGGATGCCAACTGTAAAACATAAATTTTTCATCTGATAACCCTATTTCTGCTGGGAAGGAGGGGGGACAATTCCCCCCCCCCCCTGAGTTTGTTTTACATATCTCAAAAAGTTGAAATTTTCTGACTTTTACCTATAGCTCTCCCTTCAGGTCTAAAACCAGGCTTCTATACTAACTGCCTGAATCCTCAGGCACACTGACTACTTTTTTCTGTAACAAACTAAATCTTTGTTTTGACCCACTTTCACTTGACAGATTTTGATAACTTTAGCTTTTTGGAAAGCCTATGACATAAAAGAAAACTGATTGCACAAGTTTTGCATAGAATATTTTGCAAATTATTTTCAAACAATCCGCCAAAAGAAATTTGCACAATTTAGTTTTTCTTGATTACACTTTCACATCAGGTTATTTAAAATTTTGAAAATATTTTTCCATATTTGAAATGGCATAATAATAGGCTTTTTAACCATATAAAAGCTGGGGGGTCTGAATCTATGTATAGCCTGGGGGGGGCGTTTGGCGCCCCCCCCTAGAAAGAGGCCTTAAAGAATAGGTATAGGGTTGAAATGCATGTTCATAGCACATTTTTTTAAGGCCAGCTCATAGAAAGAAAAATTTGACCGATTAGGGAGGGTTGAAAGAAATGCCTAAAAAAGGGTAAAAAAAATGAAAAAAAATATTTTTTTTTTGTTTTAAGCAAATCTCAAAGTGTGACACATGTTACTACATGCATTTTTCAAGGGCTTTTTAAAAATATAGTTTTTAGATGAGTCTGTAGCTTTAGTCACAAAAAAGTTATAAGCTATTCTAGATTTTTTCGCCCCGTATCCTACCCAGTACCCAGTACTAAATTTAAAGAACAAAAATTTAACAAAGAATCCATTAAATAAATATTCATTAAAACTCACAAAATTTCACGGTGATAGTGTCAAAAATGAGAGTGCTAGGACAAAAACAAGCTACAGGAGGGCGTTTAGGGTTAAAAATTATTATTAGTTTTTGAACATTTTTTTGCAAAAATTTTCACTATAAAACTGGATTTTGCAAAAACTAAATTCAATATTTGCATAGGAGTTGAGTTTTTGCCACAAACTTTGATTTTCTCATCTCTATATCTTTGTAACCCAATGTCGTAGACCCTAGATATTTCAAACTATTAATACTTAAAGATCAAATAAATAAGTTTGAAATATCAAAGGTTTGCGCCATCAGGTTACAAAGATATTGCGATCAGAAGATCTGAGCAAAATCTCAATTCCTTTGATATGATTTTTTTCAGATTCTAAAAGTAGAGCATACGAACTTTCCAATGATGTATCATTTGTCATATTTGGATATTAAACATAGGATTTAGAGAGGGGTCAAATTGAACCTCCCCCCCCCACCCCCAGCGTATCCTAGTTTTCAACTACACCCCAGAAAAGATAGGGTTTAACTGGCATAATCTTGTACTTGGAAAAAGCAGACGTAACTTTATTTTGACCATTGAAATAAGGTTACACTTAATCTTAACAAAGACAATTTCTTATTCTTCTTCAAATGCCCATGTTTATTGGGACACCCTGTGATGATCCAGTAAAAGACACAAACATAGCTTTTTTACTGGTTTTTGCTATAGTGGATTTCCAAAATATTAAAATGATCGAAATTATCTAGAAGCAATATTGTTTAAAAACCATCCCAGAGATCATAATTTTATTGAGTTACCTCAAAAAGGAATTGAGTCTTTGCCACAAATTCAGTTTTTGTAAAACCTATATCATTGCAACCTTATGATGTAAACCTTTGATATTTCAAACTTACATTACTTGATCTAATAGCATTTATAATTTGAAATATTAAAGGTCTACGACATTGGGTTGCAAAGATATTGAAATTAGAAAATCAGAGTTTGTGGCAAAAACTCAATTCCTTAAGACCTGATGGATTTAACCATTTTTTTATGTTTATTGAATACAACGAAGGGCAATTTGAAAATTAAATTTGTCATAACATATTTAGGAAGTTTCAATTTTGATATTTACTTTCTTAAAAAGTGCCTTATTTGTAAAAATAAGCTTGGCAATATTTTAAATTTTCAATATGATAATATTATGTTTACCAGATATAAATGTGATGAAGACCAAACTTCTAAACATTTTATTGTTCTGGTTATTGATGGATTGATGGATTGATGGCTAAAACCAGTAAAAGAAAATGATGAGAAAAAATTCTTGGCATTGTGTCTTAGTCTGGACATTCATTACATATATTCAAGTCAAGGAAGAGAGCTTCAAGTCAAGGAAGAAAGCTTTAAGTCAAGGAAGAGAACTTAAAGTCAATGAAGAGAACTTCAAGTCAAGGAAAAGAGCTTCAAGTTAAGGAAGAAAGCTTCAAGTCAAGAAAGAAAGCTTCAAGTCAAGAAAGAAAGCTTCAAGTCAAGNAATACTAATAATTTTACTTTACATAATAAACAAGAATATATGCATATTTCATAAATACTAATAATTTTACTTTACATAATAAACAAGAATATAGGTATATTTTATAAATACTAATAATTTTACATTACATAATAAACAAGAATATATGTATATTTTATAAATACTAATAATTTTACTTTACATAATAAACAAGAATATATGTATATTTTATAAATACTAATAATTTTACTTTACATAATAAACATCTGTACAAGCTTTAAAGTACTTTTTTCCTTTTAACTTTTACACAACATATATTTCATACATTTTTTTCAAATTTCAATGCTCATTTCTTACGCAACCCTTTTCATTCGAACAGATAAAAATTGATAGATATTCTTTGCAAAAAACTTTCAAAATTAATGACGTACATTATAGAAAAAAACGACTGTTAAGGACTACACTTTGGTAACTAATGTTAATGACAACCTTTTGTAAACAATCATTAACAACCGTTAGTGAATAAATTTACAGCTCCCCCCCCCGCCCCTGAAAATAAAGTAAATTTTGACAAATATTTGCTGATCAAATATTTTTAGTATTTTACACCAATTGCACAAATGATCAAAGTTGTAATATAGTATTCTAAGAACCACTGTAAATTGGCTGAATGAAAAACATTGCTTAGGACAAGTCATTTCAAATTACCTGGAAACCATCAGATTATTAGATTATCAGGTTTTGAACCACAATTTGAAATGTCATTTTTTTCTAGCAGTAGGGAAGAGTTATTTAATATTTTTGTTAAATATACAAGCAAATGAATATAGAATCCCGGAATAAATAAAATATTAAAAATGTCTAGAGAAGCTTCATACCACACAATACTAATTCAAGAAAGTATCATTGTATGCAAACTAGAAAATTATTGGTAAGACTTTTTGACCTCATAGCACCTTGAAGATTTGATTTTCGGCACAAACAAAGGATAAGCATATATTTTTCAGAACTTTTGAATAAATTCTTGTAAAATCTATTAAAGGCCAAAATGGAGATATAATTATAATGAAAGTTTTCCTATACTTGAAATGTAAATATTCCAAATCTCAGAACTAATCTCAAATAATATTTAGATCTATTTTTCTTAAAATGATTTTCATTCTTGACTGGAGTACATTTTTATATAAGACCCCTCCCTAATAAAGGTATAATTATAATGTAAGTTATAAGATACTTAAAGGGACTGTAAAGGAAAAATGAAAGGTGGTATAGGCTCAAAGCTAATCACTTTAGCTCTCGATCGCGACCCATGAAAGTCATATTTGATGTTCCTATCTCGAGAAATTGATATACAACTTTGTCAGATTTATACGAAAATTAATATTTATACAATTTTGTATAAAAGTAGTAGGTTTAAAAAGATCAAATTCAGCAAATAAGCAACCAATCTGAAAACGATGATATTCCAGAGAAAGCTAATTGTAAATTAGGTTTACTTTTACATTTGTTATTTTTATTTTTAATAGATTTCATTCATGATATTATTTATACGTCCGTATTGCTTGACCAGAAATTCCACCAATGGCAGTGCAGTAAAGTGGTTACATGATACAGGCGGAGACACGTGATCAGTATACTGCTGTGCCATTGGTGATAGCTCTGGTCACGTGATTTTAGTTTAAGACTTTCTAAATTTTACATATATGAGCTTTTGTATAATTTTAACACAGTTTTCAAATATGGTTCCGAAAAACTCGCCAAAACTTTCCTCAAGATTTTTAAAAAGTAGAAAAATAGTCTGGCAAAACAAACATTGAAATATCTTTAAACTTTAGATGCAAGGTTTTATTAAAATACATACAAATTTTATGACAAAATTTGATCTCCCTATAATTCACGTTTTTGCTCCTTTTCACTGTCAATTTCATTTAATCAAGATAGTTCCATGCATTATCTTTCATGAACACTATTTCAAAAAAAGCATAATAATTCCCCGAAAAAAATAATAAAGCCAGAATGTCGACAATTATGGAAAATACAGACTTTTGATTGAAAAAAAAATAATTATGTTCATAATTTTTAAGAGACTTTCCTAATTTAAAAATTCTTTCTGCAGTACAAAAAAAGTTACCTCCTGATTTCCCAAGAGCTGTGTTTGGTTCAATTCTACAAATTTTGCTTTAATTTTATTTGTGAAAAAAGTGGAAATTTAGCAAAAAAAAATACGAAAGAGAAATTACTGAGCTCTCAGAGCAGAGAATTCCAAAAGTTTTTTTGTGCAATTAATTGTTGCAGCTATGGTTTTTTTCGCAAAAATTATTTTTCGCTAAAGATCTTTCAAACAATTTTCGCGAAAAGTATAGATTTTTGTTTTTTTTCCTGATTCCTGTGGAAGTGAATTAAGTTCTTCTCATTCTATCAACCTAAATAATAAATATTGAACATTAAATTTTTTCAATTTAAAAAATAAATAATAATTGTATTTTATGAGAATTAGATGATTGTATTAAACACAGCTATTGTGTACCGTACATTTCAATTAATATGTTGGTTTTTAAATACTGTTTCCTGAGTCCCACTGTACTGTTTTTATTGTTTAGAAAAACATAAGTGTAAAATTGAAATCTAATTTTAATTGTCATATTTTAAAATCTAAAAGTAATTTTAATCAAATGAAAAATTGGGTTTATCCAATAATTTTAAAAGATTGTCTCAACTTAAAAATATATAAAAATAACCACCTTGTGTTCTTGTGTGCAGAAAATAAACTTTATATCTTTAGATTGTTTTCAGTTAAAGGTTCCATAGTTTTCTTATTCTCTGAAAGGGACTTTAAACGTAATTGCTGTTGCACGTCCAATTTACAAAGTTACACAAATAAGCTTTACCTGAGTTGAAAACTTTAGAATGGTGGATATCGATATTTATGCTTGATCCTATCTTTTTCTTAATATCGAGACTAATCTAATCTTGTACTTGTATCCTGAAAAGTTTATAACTGGGCTGGTTCAACATCTGGACCTGGTGGTGTTATGTGAATATCTACTTGTTAATTGTAGTTTCTCTGAGATATCTGATTAATTAATTCTGAATGTTTCTTACAAGTATTAATCAATCTGTCTTGGGTTTCCTTTATCTCTTTCATTGAAACCTCAACCTTTTTTACATCATCATTAAAAGATTGGGTAAAGAGTTCCATTTCAGAGAAGGCACGCTCAATCTTATCATTAAACTCATCTCTTTCAGAGTGATTTTCATCTAAGGAAGACCGAATTTCAGTCAAATCAGTTTTTAGTTTCTTCATTTCAGAAATTGCAAGACTTCTGTTTTGAATACAACGAGCTCTAATACTACTGTATTCACGTGTATGCTCTGTGATACATATCTCAGCAGCAGAAATATACTTAGCTAGATCTTGCTGGAGCTCCAGTCTTACATGTGACATTTGCACATAAATCTCAGAAATTTTTGCAACCAAGTAATCCATTGAAGAGCTACTTTCAAGATTTATACTTTCCACATTAGTATCCAATGAAACCGGGGTATGGTTTCTTGTGGCCTGGGTGGGTGGTTGTGACACAACTTTCACATTATTTACAACAATGGTTGCATAATCTAAAATGTTAGTGAGAGGAAGCTCATAACAACCATGATCTTGATTTATGAATGATCGACAAGTACTCCGCACCTTGTTCAGAATTAACAAGTATTGGTCAAAAGATTCTTGTGACACAGGCTCCTGAGAATAGGGAGCAATTTTATCAATCTGAGAGTTCTTTGACTGGATTTGTTCCCGTAAATCCTCCAGGATTCTATCAGTAGGTTTCTCTGGTTCTGGTTCTACTTCTCTCTCCACCATGCTGCTTGGAGGTCGGTTTCTGAGGCCAAGATTGTCCCAGGATAAGGATGGCTCCTTATCAGTCAATGCTGCAGGTATCTAAAGTAGAGGCTGCTGTTGCTCTAGGAGTTGGAACATATGTGCTAAGAAGATAATCTTGAGAGCTAATTCCCCCATCTTCTCTCAATGTTGATGAGGTAGACACGCTATCCATCAGTCGACCAATAACAGATACAGGTCTTTGAAGCGAATAGTTTGGGGATATACCATCACTAGTTGGTGTTCTTGTTCTTGGAGTAGGAACTGGATTTAGAACACCATCAAAACTGGCTGTAGATAAACCTTGTGATCGAGTTCTCATATGAGACATGATCACATATGGTTAAGAGCACATATATAGCAAGTTTCCATGCACATAAACAGTGCTCAAATAATGCATTTATATTTACAATGTAGCCTTGCAATAATGAGCTTGGACATACATTGTATTTACAAATAAAAATTATAGTAATTAATCTGCCATTTAAATGATATAATTACAATACAAATACTGCTCAATACAGCATCAATTAATGTGCAATGTATCCTTGTAATAATGAGCTAGGAATTAATCTTCAATTTTTAAAATTTTCAAATTATCCCGACATCAAATCTTTTTTAAGTTCAATCAAAATTCAAAGGGGATGCACCTTTAACAATTTTGTTTGTCAATTTGTAACAATTGGGTACTTAAATTACTGAGCCCAATAAACCTAGTCTAAAGATTAAAAGAGGTGAGTGTGTTTCAATCTCTGAGACAATTAAAGGAACAAAAGCTGTATTAAGATTATATTGCATTAAAATGAAATTAAAGGGAAACATAAGTTACAATTCTACTTAAAGGGGATTGAGGACTGGACATGAGACTCTCAGACTTGAAGACTCGGACTCTTGGTACTGGACTCTTGCCCTTCTTGAATCTGGCTTCTGGACTCTGACCCTCTGAACTTGCAGACTTCAAATTCCGACCCCACATTTTACCCTCCTAACCCCTTCTTTCCAAAGCAGAAAGGGAGTTGGTCCCTTTTTTCTAAGAGGCTTCCACACAACTGAACTTAGTCTCTGTTAGGTCTCCTTTAATATCCGGGCACCCCTGCACCTTCCTCCCCTATCCAACCATGGCTGGTCATTTCTCCAAGGGAAGGGGGGTCAGTCAGCTGCCGGAATAATGAGTCAGGGCAGCTAGTATTGGTGTTAACTAGCTAAAATTAAAAGTATTATATATGATGTTTTAGGTCTGATACTTTGATACCGTTGAACTTTTGGGATTTTAAAAAGTTTTTTAATTGAATTTTATTTTAAACTGGGAGTATGATACTCCCACAGTTAAAACGCCCTAAAAAAATCCAGACCATGTGTTCCAACCTTGATACTTTGATACTGTTGAACTTTTTGGATTTTTAAGAATTTTTTAAAGATTTTTTAATTGAATTTGATTTTAAACTGTGAGTATGATACTCCCACAGTTAAAACACCCTAAAAAATTAGCATTTATAATTAGGACTGGGCGTGTTCTGGTTTTTTTAAATTGTGCTTTCTTCATTCTAGAATAAGGGCCTTCCACTAGATTGTTTGTTCCTTGTTTGTTCTTACTTCAAATGTTGCATCCACGTTCTGTTTCATATTCCCTTCTTTATGTTCTTGATCAAGAACGGTTCCAAGAAACAGGTTGGAATGGGTTGAGGGGAAAGGACTGAGTGGGGGAGAGGTTGGGAAAAGGGAGGTAACAAGGCCATTGGCCAACCCCTCCAAAATGACAGAATTTACAATTTTTAAATCAAATTATTAAAAAAATATTAAAACTCTACCATGTTTCACATAGTTCTACAATTTCTAGATGATGATTTCCTGCTAGAATGATTCCAGACCGTTCTGTTTAACCAATTACGGTTTTTTCACATTCATCCTTTTATTGATTGGTCCAATATTTTTAAGAACCTGTTCTACGTCTTTGTTCTTTTTTTTGAAACAATGGCATTGTTCTTGATAATTCCCCCACCCTTGGTCCCAGTCCTGTTGCTTGGCCTCCTAGCCTGTCCTATCTGCAGTGCAAGGCCCTGTACCCTGTCCTAGCTGCAGGGCTTAGCTCAGAAATGGTCTTAACCTAACCTAACCCTAAAATGATGAAGTCTGTGAGGTTGCAATCAAATCTGTTGTGGGGTCCTGCCACTTTTACATAGTCTGAACTTCTGAAGCCTATCAAAATATCAATGTTTTAGTACTATAAAGATTTAGTCTAACTTAGACCACTAGACTCTCAATAATTCCTTTAGTTGTAACTATAAAAATTGAAATCTCCAACATATCATTAAAGCTAGTTAAACTCTCAGAATGAACTCAAGTCAGAATTCTATCTTCTAAAATCCTTGGTTCTCTATCTGGAATTCTCTCTCTAGATTATCCACTTTTACACTAAGCTCAGTATACTAAGAATGAATCTTGCAGACTATTTATTCAGGAAACATTGTTGGTTAAAAAAGGGATTTAGCCCAGTCATACTTCACAATAATCAAACATAGAAATATTTTCCTTATATACTAAAACACTGAATACCAAAAAACTAAAACGTAGAGAATAGTATCCCTAAACAGAGATGGATAAATATATGCGGGTTAAGTAGAAAGCCAAGCCAGGGTTAAAGATTAAATACAGATATGCAGGAAATCCTTTCACCACTTTGCAATTAAAAAAATATTTTTTCTTCATGCATTAGTGCACGCTGTTTTGTCCTCTTCTCTTTTCTTCTCTACATCATCAGTGTCCTCTAAAATTTTAAGAAAGTATATTTTATGAGTTGTTTTAAAATATGAAAAAAAGATTTGTCCATACTTTTGTGGACACATTTGGCTTATATTTCTTTCTTATATAATATTCCTCTTCACTGTCATTTTATTGTAGGTTACCCTGTACCTTGCATTCTTTTCTTGTTATTTTGATGTGCTTTCGAAAAGTGTGGTATTACAACAACAAATGTTAAGGTTTTTCTGAACTGTATTGTATTCTGAACAGGGAATGGACGGTCCCTTGAAATTTTGGTTTTAGTCTCTTTAAAGAAGCAAAACTTGTTCATTATTATAAAAAAAAATACCTGTAACAATACAAGGAATCTCTGCAGCCATTGCTTCTCTGTATTTTGGATGGGATATAGCAAATACAAGAGGATTTAAGGAACTGTTGGTTTTTGCTGAAAGTAAATCTTAAAATATTGATTTTTATATGTTACAGCATTGATTGTTGATTAAAAATATATTTTTGCTGCATTGGGTTGGAAGGAACAGCTAAAATATAATAAATTTTACAATGTTTTCAATTTTTCTAGAGTAAAAAATAATAGATATTGAGTTTTCAATGTACATAGATTAAACTTGGACAATTCTTAAGGCATTTCTTTTTCAAGACATAATATCGAGCAAATTGTGCTTGAACAAAATTTTGTAAATGCCTTTGCCTTTTACAAAGTCCAACATATGCAAAATGACCCAATAGGAATCTTTACAGAGAAAAAGTCTTTTGGGTGAACACACTAAACAACCAAAATGAGATCTTAATTTCCATATTTACATAGTTCAACATTTAAGATTCTGACCTAAAAGGCCTGGAAGTCCTGAGAACAAAGGAGTAATAATTTGATGCTGTCCAATCAGTCCAATGAGTACTACAATAGCGTAGGGACCCCAGGTTCCAATCCATAGAAGAACATTGGTAATAGATACCTAAATCAAATAAATAACATTTTGTTATGCCCCCTTACCCGCACACCTAATATTTAGACTCTGCTGGGTATCAATTGGTATGATGAGCACATCAAGGTCACAGGGAAGCAATCCAAATAAGAATATTGGTATTAAATACCTAGAACATATTGATAACATTTAATCATCTATCAGTACCAATACAACTGTAACTATACTGGGTTGCTTAATATTTCGACCCTGTGGATACCAATTAGCCTGCTAAATGCAACAACAGCATATGGAGAGTCCCAAGTTATCAACTCAGGGAAGAATAATGGTCTTCTTAAAATTAAAACCTAGCTGAGATACCAATGATAACAAAAATACCCCGAATAGCAACCCAGAACATGAAATAGAGGCATAATGTATGGATTTTAAACAGTTCAATTTTTGAGCTAATGATCATTCCCTTCCCAGTACCGAAGAAATGACTTAGAAGGAATAGGGTTAGTGAAATTGAGAAACCATTTCTTCCATAATTAGTATAAATAAAAAGCACAAGGCTTGAACAATTCTGCTGTGTTCAATTCAGAGCCCTTTTTTAAAAATTACCTTAGCTATTTTAACTTCAATAGATTGGTCTTCCTCCTTTGTTCTGAGTGAATAAATGTTCATTTTCTTGGCTTGCTTCTGCATTGCCTTTTCATGACAGATCACTGCTCTTGCAATCTAAGATGGCTAGAATACAACAGGGGACTGCACTGCTACTAGTAAACATTAGGGGGTTAATACTAGGGGCCGTATTGTGGCTATTTACTGCTTGGGAACAGCACTATATATTTTTGAGGATGTTATACTGAGTCTAGTATATGCCTTGAGGGGGGCCAAATCTGTGCCCACTATATATATGAGGACAAAAATGTGGCAAGGATATGTAAAGGTCAAAATTATGTCTTGGATATGTGACCAGACTGGTCTGCCCTATACAAGGGAGATCCTCTTCTCTTTTGGAAAAAGACCTTTTAAGTAAAGAAACTTCATCATAATTGCCCTTCACAATGACAAGCGATTTTATTTGTACTCTTTGGATGTAAATCCACATTTACAAGAAACAGATCCTTATCCACCACCACTTCATATGTTAAAGTACCTGGAGATAGAAAAAAATCACAAAAGCCATCGGTAGGAAGAAGTGGGTCACCAGGGTGTATAGAATAAAGCTTTTGGAGTTAAGATCCTATAAAAATGAGTTTATAAAATTCATTCCAACTCCACAGCATTTTGGTATTGTTGAGATAACAAGAATGGTAGATAGATATTAATTAACCACATAGTAGTCAGTTGTTTTTGATCAATGAAATAAATCTTGAATTTTTGATATATACTGTAATTACTGTACTGTAAAGAACATATTTTGGTGAAAATCAAGAGCAACAACTATAAATGTGCTCTTTCTAAATGCCTCATGGATCTCTGTACTGCAGAGAACATCCAATACTACTTAAACTCTCTTTCTACCACTAAGATCCATTATCCATACCTCTTTAAGGTAATCATAGCTGCAGGTGACAAGAAATCCCTCTAAAGCGTAGGATCCCCAACCAATGAAAGGTCCAAGAGTAGAGAGGATACTGTAAACCCATACAGATAAAATCATAAGCGATGCCTGAAATCATTTTATAAAAATAAACATTACAACAATCCAATGCACTCTCATAATTGGTTATAATAATATTTTTTTATACTTTATCAAAGCCATATTCGAAACTAAAGCACTGATATATACAGGGCGAGTAAATAAACAGGGATTATGGATGTTTTGGACAAAATTTTAAAATTTTTGGTTTTGATTAGATTATAGGCATAAAAAAAAATAAAATGGAATTAAATTTTTGAAAAACATTGAAATAAAAACGCAAAACCAATATCTTTTTAATTTTTGGAAAAATGTTTATTCTAGTGTTTTCCGAAAATTTCATAAAAATTCATCAAAAATTGAATGAGATCTATAAAAAAATGTAAGCCAATTATTTGCATTTTTAAAATCATAAAAATTTGAGGTTATAAATTGATAAAATTTGCCGCATATTTCCACTCAAAATTTTGGCTGATTTTTTTGTTTGTATCTAATTAAATTTTTAAAGAAATTTTGGAAAACACTGTTGATATAAAGATTGTCCAGAAAAATTATTACCTGGGGTTTTGTGATTTTGGTTCCAGTGATACCTTTTACGATCACATTGTATCTATCGTATCCAATGAGAATAATTGAGAAATTTTACGATCACATTGTATCTATCGTATCCAATGAGAATAATTGAGAAAATTGAGACTGTTCCACATATGCCACCGAGAAGGGCATACATCTTACAGCCTGAAACCAGAGAATAATACTTAATTTTATTAAAATCTCATCATAACGTTCTCAGTCGGCTCCACTAGAATCTATTAAATCTAATGTGAGCCCTATAAGTGGTTTTCCAAAATTATTGTTTTCTTTTTATACCAGAGTAATTTCAGGGTTTTTACTTGCATTAATTTAATAAGAAAAAAAGTTTAAAACATTTTTAATGCAATTTCTTACTTACCAAATACTCCCCACATCCAGTAGCGCTGATAGAAAATGTTAATCACGATTGGCAATCCCTGAAATATGCTTTTTGCATGATTATTGACTTTATAAATTCATGGGGTTTTGCAACCATCTTTTTAAGGATAATTGTGGCCTTTCTTATACTATTATTTTTCATCAAAACTTTAATTTGAAAATAGAATTCTTCTGAAAATATGTTTGAACTTTTTTCATTCTTTTTTGGCAGGGTAAATTGTAAACTCGATATTTTTCAATTTAAATTAGTTTTAAAAAAACTTGTCTTTTTATTGATGAAAAATAGAATAAATGGGAGCTATCATTGTTAAATTCAATCCTATTTTGAGCTGGAAATGATCTTTAGTGATCACTCCCTTCAATCTTTTGTTTATTATTGGGTGTCCCAATAAACATGGGAATTGAGAGACGACGAGACAGTCGTCTTTAATTTCTAAATTGGCAAAGTGAAAAGAAACGTGTCTGTACGTCTGACGAGTTTTTCAGAAAGAAGTCTATCAGTCTTTAATTTTAAAACTTAACAATATTAATGCAATTTTGATTTTTCAAATAAGTTGAAATTTTTACAGATTTTGCAATATCTCCGTCTATTATGAAGATACAAAAATGGTAGACAATATTTTGAAAATCTCAAGTTGTATTGGAACATATCAAACTAGCTGTGGAACCCAGTTTTGTCTTCAAAATATATTCTCCATAGAAATGTCAACCTAGCCTTACTAAAGTAAAAACTTATAAACCAAACTAAAAACATTCCCGTCGTTCTACCTTGATACCCAATTCAAATTTATAAACATGCAAGATCATAGGATGCTAAACATGCAAATCATAGGATGCTAAACATGTAAAATCAAAGGATGCTAAACATGCAAGATCATAGGATGCAAAACATGCAATATCATAGGATGCTAAACATGCAAGATCATAGGATGCTAAAACATGTAAGATCATAGGATGCTAAAACATAAAAGATCATAGGATGCTAAACATGCAATATCATAGGATGGTAAGCATGCAAGATTATAGGATGCAAAACATGCAATATCATAGGATGCTTAACATGCAATATCATTGGATGCTAAAACATGCAAAATCAAAGGATGCTAAAACATGCAAGATCATAGGATGCTAAACATGCAAGATCATAGGATGCTAAACATGCAAGATTATAGGATGCTAAAACATGCAAGATCATAGGATGCTGTACATGCAAGATCATAGGATGCTGAAATATGCAATATCGTAGGATGCTAAAACATGCAAGATCATAGGATGCTAAAACATGCAAGATCAGAGGATGCTAAACATGCAAGATCATAGGATGCTAAAGCATGCAGAAAAATAGAAATGACAAGTCCATTTCCAAAGATACTGATAAGTAGCAAAATACTCATCATGGGGCCGGCAAACACATGCAAGATCATAGAATGTTAAAACATGAAAGATCATAGGATGCTAAACATGCAAGATCAGAGAATGTTAAAACATGAAAGATCATAGGGTGCTAAACATGCAAGAGCATAGGATGCTAAAACATGCAAGATCATAGTAAACAAAAAATTTAGTGATTTTGAAGAGATTAACAGTAAAAGTTTTGACCTTTTAACATCTAAAATGATGTGTCATCACCTGGGGAGGGTATTCATTCCAATGATTGTTGAAAACCTCTGCCAAAGCTGGATCAAGTCCCTCGGCATGCGAAGCAGCTAAATGTATATATATTCTATTATAAAATTATATGCTTGGAAAGTTGACATGTAATGCATTATGCAACATTTCTTCTCAGCAATGTATGGTAGTTGAACTGAGAATGTAGTACTGTGGAGAAATTTTTTTTGGGGATACATTTGAGACTTACAAAACGTGTTAATGATGTATGATTACTGACTTTGAGCGCTAAGTCGATGTTCAAAATCATTATATTGGTTGGTTACGTTTTGAGAATCGATTTTTTTCAATTATAAAAGAACGACGACAAAAAATGTAAAAAAAAACTCTACAATAAACTTTTTTTTAACAATTTATCTTTTAAATCAAAATTCTTTTTTTTTCTCTGACTGTTGTATCTCTTTTTTAGCCGATGTTCCTCTCCGTTTTTTCCATTTGTGTGCAGGGGTGTATATCCCTATATACACCCCTGGTTAAAGTTTCTCTAGTTTGCCACTTTCTCTCTCTAACCCTGTATCTCTAAATACGTTTAGAATCACCTTTCGAGACCCAGTTGAAATACTTCTCTGAAAACTAAATGTATGTTTCTACAGTAAACAAATTAGATGTTTAAGAACATATTTCTCAATAAATCAATGTTAGAATCATCAAGTAGTTCTTTTTCATTATTATATTGAATTTCTAATTCTTTATGAATTTTTTTGCAGATTTCTTAAAATTCTTCAAATGTCTTCTTTGCAATAAAAATTCCAGGAAATCGGCAAAAAATGTTTGTGAACAATGAGACATTACAGAAACCAAATAACTAAATAAGATTACTTATGCTCGATGATAATAGTCAATTTTTATTTTTGCAACCTGTTCCTAAACAACTATTATTAGTTTGCTGTAGAATTTTACTACATTTTTTGCCGTCGTTATTGAATAATTTTTTTAACCGATTCTCAAAATCATCCCTCAAAATTGAACAATATATGAGGATTTTAAGATTGAATTTGCGCTCTTGCTGAACAAAAATTCACTGTAAAAACGTTTAAAATGATTCCTTAAAAAGCTCCACAATGCTAAATTCTTAGTTCAACTACCATACATTGCCGGTCACTCCCTTTGACCCATTCACGATCAGTAGTGTTGGATATAGGTATACACATAGTTCCCCCCTCCACTTTTTTATCTCAAATAAAAATATTTAGTTTAGGCTCAGTTAAACATGAAAATTAACGAAAATGTCTGTTGGCTTTCTTCTAATTGACAGTTCTTTATCGTTCGTTAATGGAAATATACAGTTTATATGAACTCCTCATATAATACAGTTTATATGAGGAGTCCGTTTGATAATACAGTTTATATGAGGAGTACCTATAGACTCCATCTTGTACCTGGTGGATAATACAGTTTATATGAGGGGTCCATATGGACTCCATCTTGTACCTGGTGGAGAGTACAGTTTATATGAGGAGTCCATATAGACTCATCTTGTACCTGGTGGGTAGTACAGTTTATATGAGGAGTCCATATAGACTCCATATTGTACCTGGTGGATAATACAGTTTATATGAGGAGTCCATATGGACTCCATCTTGTACCTGGTGGATAGTACAGTTTATATGAGGAGTCCCTATAGACTCCATCTTGTACCTGGTGGATAGTAAAGTTTATATGAGGAGTCCATATAGACTCCATCTTGTACCTGGTGGATAGTACAGTTTATATGAGGAGTCCATATAGACTCCATCTTGTATTGGCCAATTCATTCCTTTTCCTGACATTTTTTTCTTTACATTTACAATATAAAATATAATATCAAATAATATAACATTATAATTATAAAAATAAGTAAAGGATCAAAGACGATCTTCAAAAGTAATATCTCAACTGTCATGGTAATCTCTAGCAAACTTCATCCTTTTCTTATTGAACAATTTTCATAAACATCCCTATTCAGACTTCAGAGCCAAATATTTCTTAAGACCATGGACCGAATTTATTGAATTTGAGAAACGTCGCTAAACCACAACTGCCAGTTCAAATTTGAGCCATCGATTCAAATTTGAAACAATAGTTCGAATTCATTTACTTTGGTCCAATATTAATTTTGTTATTTATTGCTAGTAAGTGTTGAGTTAGCTTAGTTAGGAGAGAGTGAATCATGTCAACTGGGTGTTTTGAAAATTGCTTATTTCAGATCAAAAAATTTTGCAATGGTGAATAAAAATTCACAATTATTTATCTTATTTTTTTTCTTTTTTTTCGTTAACTTTGTGATTGGAAATTTCTTTTTCTTCAGTAATTTTAAAATCCTTTTTAAATAATTTTTTTAAAACAGAAATAAACTTTTTATCTTTAATTCGGCAACAAATAAACTAATTTTTTATTCTTTGTCATCATTTTAATTTTTTAGTTTTAAACAAATCTAAAATGGAAAAGAACCAATGAGCAAGAACTATTTTTACTGTAAAAACTTTAAAATCATAAAAAATCATCGACATAAAAATAATAATTTTGACAACATAAAGATATGCAAAAAAAACTTTACAACTGTGAGACATTTATGATTCTAAAAAGTAAAGTTTAAAAAATTGTCGACAGTTTGAAATAAAATAAAAGATGTTGATTAATTGACGAAACCCCCTGGTCTGAGAAGGATTGAGTTCTGATTAATTTATATATGCAGGATAAATAATTAAGCCATGGATTAGACTGTAGAGTAGACATTCTTACAGCTTCACTTCTTCCATGTACTTGCAGTATTAAAGGATCATCTGCTAGTTTAACCATATAGTATTTCATTAAATTTTAGAAAGTACTGAAATTAACCTGTAGATACTGTACCCTGTAAACTACGGTTAAAATACGGCTTCATCTCCTTGAGAGATATATTTCTTGAAGGAAAACGAGATACAGGGTTACACACAAAGGATGAGATTTAAATTACTACCTACCTTAGATAAATCATCTCCTTGAGAGATATATTTCTTGAAGGAAAACGAGATACAG